GGCACTCTATGGTTTTTACATTTTAAACAATTAGTTTGACATTTTTTTTAGTTAGATGAGAAGATCGATACCTCTCACGTGTCTGTAGGTTATTATGAAGCTACAGCCAGGAGCTGGTTATCTTAGCTTAGCTTAGCATAAAGACTGGAAACAGGGGGAAACAGTTAGCCTGGCTCTGACAAAAGGTAACAAAATCCGCCTACCAGCACCTCCAAAGCTCACTAATTAACATGTTATATATTGTTTGTTAATCTGCACAGAAAATATAGTGTATAAACATCAATTTGCTGTTTTACACAAAACTATGTTTAGCCTGGAGGAGTAACGTGTTAAGTTATCTTCAGAGGTTTCAGAGGGCAGATTTTGTAACCATGAGACTAGCTGTTTCCAGTCTTTATGCTAAGACAAGCTAACCGGCTGCTGGCTGTAGCTTTATAATAACTGTACAGACATAACCACTAAAACAACATTCAGTATTCAACGCTTTAACGCAAACGTTTTTTGCAAGCTCCAAAAGAAAATCAGACAGTTCCCTCACCATAACAACATAGCGTGATCTGTACTGGATGACACCAAACAGGCCCAGGATGACCATGATGATGTGGAAGAAGTTGATCATGATGGGAGCCCACTGGTAGCCGAGGAAGTCAAACACCTGCCTCTCCAGCGCAGTTGTCTGGAGGGGTCAACAGGAGCAGAGACAGAGTTTAGAGACATAATGACTTATAAAAGACTTTCACTTTGTTACACCAGGTTACACTGTGCTGCCCTGGCTTGTTTTTTTACACCGTTAAAGGACATTTTGGAGTGTTTTTTCTTATCTGAGGGTCGAAAAGGACAGCGGGTGTCGTAGCATAGTACTGTGATATTGGGCTATATATATATAATTGACCTGACTTGAATCTCTTGCTCGTGCGTCCCACAAGGTTGTATTTTTGATTCTTGTAAGTTGTCAAGGCAGCTGAGCCGTGGGGGACAAAGACAGAGCTGGTTAAAGTATTGTGTCCCTCTGAGGCTGGAGCCCCAGTGAGTCATGAAGGGGGGCAGGGTGGGAAACAGAGAGGACAAAGTGGGTCCAGCCCCTCATTGTTGTGGTTGTAGTGGTGTGCTGCTTTTCATAAGCTCCTCTAACTACAACAAGCTTAGTATTAACATGGATCACAAAATGTGACGTTTATTAGGGTGCAGCTACGATTATATCGATTAATCTGCCAAGTGTTGTTCAACAAAATGTCAGAAAGTAATGAAAAATGCTCGCCAAAATTATGCAGAGCCCAAGGTGACGTCTTCAAATAGCTTGTTTTGCATGAGCAACAGTCTAAAACCAAAAGAAAGTCAATGTATTTTAACAGAACACCAAGAAAACCTAAAAAATGTAGCATTTGAGAGGCTGGAACCACCTCTAACGTGTGTTTCATTTGAGTTTGGTGCAGAAACCTAAATGAATAATGACAATGTGAACGGAAGGTCATCAAATACAACACCAAAGAATGTGCTTAACAGGTATTTAAGCAATATTATTTTGTAGCCTTAGGGTAAAACGAAAGATTCAATAATGTCAGAAAAAATACAAAACATAGGCGCGTCAAAGCACCAACAAATGAACTTACTTTTATAATGAACACGAAGTCTTTCAGCTATTTATTTCATTTAAAATGTTGCGGCAATTTTGTGATTTTCATTAGTGTAAGGTGTAAGGGATTACCTGAGGTAACAGATAGTAAGCAGATGTGTTTATGTGGAAGCATCTGGACAGAAAAACATCTTACCAACTGCAGACAACACAGGAGGATCAGCATGCATCGTGCCGAGCAGCAGCCCATCTTCCTCTCCTCTCCTCTGGCCCTGATGATGAGGATGAAGATGAAGATGCAGATGTGGATAACAACAGTGAAGTGACTGGATTTTTTTTTATAATTGCTCAAACACAAGCGCCACATATCCAGACGTGTGGGGAAACGTACAGCGCACTTTACCTGATGAGGAAAGCACGTAGGCTGTCTGTGTGTGGGAACTAAGGGGGAGGGGAGGGGAGGCTGTATGAGAGGCGATTAGTGCCACGATAAGCAGAGGAGGGGAAACCCCGAAGGACAAATTCAGCCTTGATGCTGTGAGACATTTGTTTAAATGCACAAAATTATCATGAAAATGTTTTTAATTGAAAATAATTGTAATGAGGTAATTAGCATTTCCATCCATGAACGTACTTTATGTGAATATTAGAAATCAACACAAACAGATGGTGCTAATTCTAAAGTTGGGTGCCGTTAAACCACTGCATAAGAGGAGATTGTAAATATGTAAGTGAAAGAGTCAAACTTCAAACAGTGAAAATTATAGAAATATGACATTTATGTTTTGTTTTCTGTATTAATTTGAAGATCATTTCGCATCACTCCACACATCATTTCTGTTTTCCATCACTTGAGTGACAAATAAGTCAGATACTCCGAGGACTCGTGATTTATTTGCATAGTCTGTTTACAGTGACACATTTTGTTTTTAGCGATACACCAATTTCAAATGAGCCAAGTGTTGTTTTTACGATATTTCAACTTTATTTCTTATTTCCAGCTCAGGATGTCAATATGGATTTCAATACGTAAACTGAAAACCCTGCTGAGTTTATAAAAACTATTTGGGTGTTTTTTTTGCTGTTCATGACTCGCTATAGATTCCCTAGGTGATGTAAACCGAGCGGAAAAAAATGTAGAAACTAGAGCAACAGAAAATGAATCTATAACAAGTATCATGTGCCACACATTCTCTGGTTGTAGCTTCTCGAAGTTTAAGGATTTGCTGTTTTTCTCTTCTTTTACATGATTGCAAACAAATGTGTTTGAGTTTTGAACTTTTGGTCAAAGAATACAAGCTATTTGAAGACGACACCTGGGGTTCTTGTGGTATGCATCGCCTCTCTTTTCTCACATTTTATAAACTAAACAATTAATTAAGAAATAATTGCCAGATAAAAAAACGTGTGGTAAAGGAAAGTGAAGGATGGTGGTCGTGGTTATAAACCGACCTAACTTCCTATTTCCTCTTTTGCTCCTGCAGACAAACAGTCTGACAGTTCTTCAAAAGACCTCTCCCGTATGATTCTCTTGGTTCTCGCTCACTGTGGCATGGAATGAACCTCATACAGCAACACCGTCTGCTGCACCGTGATAGGCGGTTGCTCCCCTGCAATGCCAGGTTGACGCCGGTACGTGGTGGTAGAGAACGGCGGAGGTGTGATGGCTTCAGAGGTGTGTGAGAGCGGCAAGGTTACAAGAAGACGTTACTGGCCTACTTTTATATCTCTTACAACATTTAGACTTAAATATGTCGTAGATAAGACAACCTGGTTGACATTATGTTATTAGAATAACTTTCTAGACTAACATTCAAGTGGAAAGGGCAAACATAATATGGGGTCACACTGGCAAAGCAACATAATATGGGGTCACACTGGCTTAGTGACGGTGGCTCATACTGATACAATTCTATTTCACTATTTCACATATAATTAAAGAGATCAACGAAGGTTGCATTCAACAGTTTCACCTGTTGTGTTGCTTTCTTCGACTCGCATAAGGTCATTGTTTATGTATAATTCATATGCTGGTCTCATGCATCAATTATGTGTTTCAGAATTCACAGTAAAGTAAAACAAGCATTCAAAACACATTATAACAATTTCAACAGGTAATTCTAAACTCATTGTGCAAAAGATGGACCTGGCAGTGAAGTTAAGCTCCTTTATTGAAATTGTACAGAAACCAGAGCCTCGTGCACCTTTAGCAGGGACTTACAAAATCCTGCTGAACCGTACTCAGCTCATTCATTCGCCACAGCTACACGCCCGCACTTCCGCGTCCTTCCGAGGGAGGACGCTAGAATCAAAAGACGAACTCAAAATTGGGGGGTCTCCAGCTCTGCCCGTCACATGGAAGCACAGTAGCTGAGCCGAGGGGATGCGAGTACAGATGGAAGGGGCTTGAGGGACCGTGGAGGAGAAAAACCTGGGGATCGTATTGGAGATACAGCGGCCGCGGCAGCAGCACACATAGGCAGGTTCGACACTTCCCAGCCTCCCTTCTGGCTGGGGAGCAGAGGCGCGCGGACGGGGCGCACAAGCGGGTCAACGGGCGCCCATAGGATGTCACATGCAATATGCTGCATTCCCGTTTTCTGAAGCCCGAGAACGCCAAGTTATCGCCTTTGATTGATTATGCTCGCGGGGAGCGCCTGGTCCGAGGGGAAGCAGAAACTGAAGGAAGCGACCAGGGTTGATGCTGCGCATCCCAAAATCTCCCGAGCTGAGTGAGTACAGGGATGCTATAGCGCAATGCTCTGTGCCCGTGGCTATGTGACAGGCTGGAGGGAGATGGGAGATGGGGG